ATCGTTCGGTACACACACACAAAATCAGCAGAATAATCAACCCTAAAAAATGGTCTATAACTGAAAAATTCGTTTATCAACGTGATCTACCCCTTGATGAGCCTTTTTTTCTTGAAAAACGCACGAAAGGTTTATTATTCGTTGCAAATTGATAAACACTCTTTCGTTGATCAATTGGATCAATCCTGAGACCCAGAGTTGATCATTACCTTTGAGAAACTCATCGTTTTAGAGTTGATTCAATCGATCAACGAAAAAAGGTTTAGCAATTTGAAACGGATAATAAACCCTTCGTGAGTTTTCCAAGAAAAAGGGTACGTCAAGCGGTAGATCACGTTGATAAACGAATTTTTCAGTTATACAGTAGTCGACAAAAGTCCCTACCCTAGACGAAAACCATTGAAATAAGAGTTGTTGACTTTTAAACTTATACTGAAGCAAGCTCTTAGCGGGTTTTGGTCTGAAACAAAAACTCGAATCTCGCCTCTTTAACTGAGGTTGAGATATTACCTCAATATCAACAATTTTCGGTTCATATTCTTGATAAAACTATGTGATGTTTGAAGAAAATGACGAAAGTTTTCGATTTGCGAAAATAGAAGCAATATTGTTAGTGTAATATGTAGTTCCCATAGCGCTCTACTCGTACCAGAAAGCCCACTTAGTTTTGCCGTACTCTACGAATTTCCCAGAGCTGTCAAGTCGTAGGTATAGAACGAGACGAAACTCTATCTTTGTAAAGGATATAATGCTGAAAATTTTACCATACGTTTGCCTATATTTATAAAGTCTACAATAAAATTTTCAGATCGAACGGCTGATCCTATCTAGAGATTTGGATAGAATGCTGGTTCGATTGCAATTTGGCAGTTCTATATGTAAGCAGTATATAGGTCAGAACTTAACGAAGACACGTCGCATTTCAATGAAAATTTTACTAAGAAGAGACTAAGAGTGAGGTCTCCTAACGATAGTTCGAACGACATTGCATCTCTTTCCTAATGTGAGATAACGTAATAAGAAAATTTCTGGATATCGCCCTGACGCCCCAGCCCCCGCTAACGGGGCGGAACACAGNCGTGATCTACCCTTTGATCAACCCTTTTTTCTTGGTAAACCCCAAAAAGGTATATTATCCGTTGCAAACTG